GAAATATATGCTTTTGAGGCTTGAAAGTTGATGTCTCCAGCACTGAATTTTGTTAAAAAATTTCAAGTAAAATTCAAAACTATGGCTCAAAAATTCATTAAACATTACTTAAACACCCATCCAAATTTATTGAAAATGATTGGATCTCATGTGAAATTACCTCATAACTTTAATATGAGCGTTCTTTCAAGTGTTTTTAAAATGTATTGATAAGGGCTGGAGCAATAGCACAGTGGGTAGGGTCACACAGCTGACCCAGGTTCAATTCCCTGCATCCCATATGGTCCCCTGAGCACCGCCGGGGTAATTCCTGGGTGCAGAGCCAGGAGTAACCCCTGTACATCGCCAGGTGTGACCCAAAAAGCAATAAATGAATAAATAAATAAAATGTATTGATAAAATATAAGATTAAATCATGAAAATGCCTTCAAAATCTTTTCGTCAAGATCTCCTAAAGGTATATTATTATAAACTAAGCTTTTCCACTTCCTTAAAATTGTTTCAAAGCACAAACTACACATTTTAATAATAATGGGAAAATATGCATAACAAAATATGCCAGTATAGTTTTATTGCACACATTTCAATTTTCAGTGTTGATTGTAGTCATTATTACTGAATCTGTGACATTCAGTCTATTTTATTTTATTGTGAACCAAACTTTTATCTCTGAGCTCTTTGATAAAGCAGTCATTTTTATTTCCTAAGAATGTGTTCTAGTACTAAGATAGTTAATTTAGAAGGACCACAGCTTACAAGATTTTTCTTTATTAACTTCAGGTTCATAATCATAGGGCTGATTTTTTTCCTTAAGAAATTTTTTGTCATGATATTGTACTTTGAAGTGATTCAGCGCATAACTATAGATGGATGTTCAGTGATGAATCGATTTAGGATCATTTTATCATGAAGATTCAAGTGAACCTGAACTCTAAGTTGCTGTTTTAATTAGTATCTTCAACCTTTTGGGAGGCCTACAGTGCTCCTGATGTTCCTTTCCTTCACCTACATTTTGTGTATCTTTATATCTTTTGTATGTCCTTCTCCCTCTTTCCATTCTTTCCTTCTTGTATTGAGTTCAAGAATATGTTTTCACTTTGCTATTTGTGTTTCCTTGTTTTTCCTCTCAGAACTCCACATGTGAGTGACATTCTCCAATATTTGACTTTCTCCTTCTGCCTTATTTTACTTATCTCCTCTAGTTTTATCTCTGTAGTAGCAGATGGAAGGATTTTATCTTTTCTTATAGCTGTCCAGTATTCCATTGTGTCTGTAGACCACAGATCCTTAATTCCTTCATTTGTTAGGCCTGTGGGTTCTGAATGATCTTGCATTTTGAAAATATATAAATGCCATCACTAATAATCCTAAAAGCATATAATAAAATATGTTTCAAAAGTTTAGCCATACTTCCCAGTGAATGGTTATCATGATTTTTTGTTTTGTTTTTCTTTTCTTTCATATATATTATAATATATATTATATTATATATTAATTGAATTACTGTAAGATACACAGTTATAAAGTTGCTTGTGATTGGAATTTAGTCATACAGTCTTCCATAATGATTTTTTTTTTGGTCATAATGAGGTAGCTTGTTTGGGGACCAGGCTAAACTCTTATAAGACAGTTTGTGTATTATGCAGATGTTCCCTTTCATTGTTGCTAGCTGCTGAAAGGACATCACCACTTTTCTTTAGCCCTTTTATAAAATATTCACACTGCCTTACTTGCAGGTTATATTTCAAATACTTGTAAAGTACTTCCATATCAGGTGTGCCAGTGGTGAGGATCCCAGAACTCACTTGAAATCCCATAGGTGAAAAAATTTCTAATTAAATATAAAGAGTTCACCCCAAAGTGTGCTTGCCCTGTTAGCCTGGCATCCAGGAATTACATCCATTTCATTATTTTACCTTTCTTAGTGTCCTTAGCTAAGTTATTTTTTTCACTCACATAGATATATTTAAACAAAAAAATTTTATAAAGAGAGAATAAAATAATAAACTCAAATTCAACATTTGTAATTAAAAATTTAAAGTCTAACATGAATACATTACATTTTTCCTTTTAGAAATGTTTAAACCACTTATAGTAATGAGAGTGTTAGATTTTGTTCTTCTAGTATTAGAAATGATGCAATTATATAAAAGTACTCTTATTACAGAAATCTGTCTTTCAAAATGTATTTTATTCATAGAATTTTATTATATAAAACCCCATTTAAATTGTTTTCTTTTTTGTCTCATGCTAGTAAAATTATATAGGCAGTAATTTTGTGAATCTGTTCATAACTGCATTCCAAAGATCAGACATTAATTAGACAGCTGCTGAATGGATGGATGTGTTGGTTTCTTGGAATATCCAGTTTGTGAATGCTCAAAAATACCGTGAATTTTTTTTAAACAGTTATCACCATGTTCATTTGTTCCTTGATGTTTTTCAAAAAAAAATGAGTGGAGTGTAATGGTTATTCAGAACTTAATCTGAAAAAGTCAATACAGGGGCTGGAGCGATAGCACAGCGGGTAAGGCATTTGCCTTGCACGCAGCCAACCCAGGTTCGATTCCCAGCATCCCATATGGTCCCCTGAGCACCGCCAGGAGTAATTTCTGAGTGCAGAACTAGGAGTAATCCCTGAGCTTCGCTGGGTGTGACCCAAAAAGCAAAAAAAAAAAAAAAGTCAATACAAAGAACTCATCTATTTTCTTTCCCCAAGTGAACAGTATTTTTCTGTTTTGTACACTTGAATATTATTCATGTTGTTTTGCTCATTCAATCTAAGTATGGATAGCAAAACTCATGGTTGTAGGATGGGGTACTTTCCAACACTGCATTTCCCTCCTAAAGGCTAAAAGTAGTTACTTTTACTTAATTCTCAAGGCACAGCTTATTTCTGTCAGTATTTGTGTTCACTTGGGATCTTCTTTGAGTCAAAGCACACTTTCCTCACCTATCCCCTACTTTTTTCTGATTAGCTAAAGTAACTCAAAGAATGTCTGAATCTACGAGTCAGAAAGATCTGGTTAATGTCTGCTCTGGTAGCAAGAAGCAGATTTTGTCGATATGTTTAGAAAGTCTAACCTAATTTACACAGAGTAGTAGCCATATTATTAATTTATGTGACAGCAGGAGAGTTAAAAGGGTAAAGGATTTCTGGTCTGTGTGATGGCATGAACTTAGTTAAAAAGGTTAAGGATTTCTTGTCCCTTCACTTAATAGGTATGTCATCTTGAGGAGATTACGCTTCCTATGTCCCACTTTCCTCAGTTGTAAACTAGAGATACAAATAATCTAGGTGATGGTGTGATTGCAAGAATTTAAATTGTTAATATATATAGGCATGATCTGTTTCAGTTTCCTTAGTATTTCTGTGTAGGTTGGCTTTAAAAAATTGTTTTAAGTTAGTTTTCATCTTAACTGTAAATCAAAATTTAAACATTGGTTCTGTATCACTGTAGCATTGTCCTCCCATTGTTCATCGATTTGCTCAAGAGGATACCAGTAATGTCTTTATTGTGAGACTTGTTGTTACTGTTTTTGGAATATTGAATACACCACAGGGAGCTTGCCAGGCTCTGCTTTGCAGGTGGGATACTCTTGGTAGCTTACTGGGCTCTCCAAGGGGGGTGGAGGAATTGAACCCAGGTCGGCCGTGTGCAAGGAAAATGCCCTACACACTGTGCTATCACTCTAGTCCCAAGTAGCACATTGGTACTTCCAAGGAAAATGCCCTACCCACTGTGCTATCACTCCAGCCCCCAGTAGCACATTGGTACTTCTTTTATTTTAGCAAAATAAAAGAAGAATATGAATCATCCAGAAATATTCCAAATATTCTCTAGATTTGCAGCACAGTAGATATTAAACCTGGAGAGTTAGTACAGGAGGCTTAAGGCAGTTATTCTGCATGTGGCGAACCCAGGGTTGATCCCTGACACCACATATGGTTTCCAGAACACTGCCAGGAATAAGCCCTGAACACAACTGGGGGTGGCCCCAAAACACAAAACAAACAAAAAATGTTTATATATGTGGTATGTGTGTGTGTGTATACAAATGCATATTCTGGCTATGCTATAAAAGAAAGATCTATTAACAAACAGTAAACTAGTCTTGAATTGCTTGTCTATTCTGTGTTCAGCATCTGATGACAGGACAGCTTCAGAGTCTCTCTGGATTCCAGCCATTACTCTTTGAGTGATCCCAGAGAACCCCTCTGCATGCTGGGTCCTTAGCTTGGCCTGGTCCTTAGCTGCTGAGTTCCAAAAACAAACTTATTTCTCTTTACATAGAATCTCTAAGTCATCCTAGTGTCGCATCTCTGAGGTTGACTGTCATCACATTCTTGTCACTTCAGTTTAAGTGATGTATCTGTCTCTGCTTGCTTTACCACATGGGCTGCCTGTGCTCTAGATAGAAAACAGTTCTATCAAAAAGCAGAGGCCGGCTGCTACTTGGTTTAATGAGCAAGAGTTTTGTGGGACACATCCCAATTTTATGACATTCTTTTGGAGCACATTACCCTGAGAGAGAACAGTTTGTTGAGACACAGTGTCAGCGAACCTGTTAAATTCAGACCCTCAGATGGAACTGCCACCTGACAGAATGCCTCAATATACACAATGTAAAGGGAACAGGCTCTGAACACCAAGGATTTATTTGGGCATCTGTGGGAAGGGGTGTGTAGAAAGCTACGCTGAGGGTCTTGGGTTCCTCCTGACATAATGGGGGGACTTAGGCTTGTTCTCTTCTAAGGTGCCCTATGCATCGTCCCAGCAGGCCCAGATACTTTGTGGTGGGATGTGGAACATCCACCTTGGAAAGGGGTATTTATTTATTAAAATTATCCTGTAACAGTTGCCACATGTTTATTTGTTCCTAGATATTTTTAGAGGGTAAAATAAGAGTGCAGTATCATTTAGTGTCAGAGCCTAATTAGTCCATTGTACATGCCCAGAGGTGCTCTCTGCCTGACATCTTCCATTTTCCTCTTGTAGGTGAACGCCCCTATCAGTGTCCTTACTGTGAAAAGGGGTTCAGCAAAAATGACGGGCTGAAGATGCACATCCGGACTCACACCAGGGTAAGGACACCTGCATTCAAAAGCAGGCTTTTCTTTCCCAAAGCAAAAAGCAGAAACAGTGTCGAACTTTGCCCAAGAGAATGACAGTCTTGTATCTGATGTGACATAGAGGGACAGTTGAGGATGCAAATCCACAGCATTCTTGGAAACTGCAAGGCAATTTTCCACAGGAACGGGAGCTGCAGTGACACAGTGCCAAGTAATTGATAATAACATTTGAGTCCCCCAAACCTCAGCATTGTTGGTGTCAGTGGGTTCCCTGGCTGCTGGAATGTTCTTGAAAAGAGGTGAATCTGTCTGCTTCTGACCCTTGTTCAATTCCAGTGAGCGTTTGTAGGTTTTTTGGTTTGGGGTCATATGTGGCAATACTCAGGGGTTACTCCTGGCTCTGCACTCAGCATTTACTCCTGGTGGTACTCGGGAGACCATATGGAATGCTGAGGTTGAACTGGAGTCTCCTGCATGCAAGGCAAGTGCCCTACCCGCTGTTCTATCTCTCCAGTCCCAAGGGTCTGTCTATAGGGAAGGTAGGAAATGCTGTGTGGTATTGGGGGAGGTCTCCTTGTGCTCATCCCTCCTTCCCAAGTCCAGCCTTCCTCCTCAGCATTCGCCACCAACTGTTGTCACTGTGTCTCTCTGATCGACCACCTTCAAGCATCTGCCTTAGGTATTTTATTTTTTATTGAAATATGTATTTTAAAATCCTGCTTATAATAATATAATATGAGACTGCCACCCAAGAACAGTAGACACAAGGGGCAAGAATATTGTTCCATAGTTGGAAATCTGTCTCATGAACTGGGGAGAAGGCAGCTGGAATAGAGAAGGGATCACTAAGTCAATGAGAGTTGGAGGGACCGTTTGGGATGGGAAATGTGTGCTGAAAGTATATAAAGAACCAAACGGGATAGCCTCTAATTATGTATACTGCAAACCATAATGCCGAGAAGAAGAGAGAGAGTATAGGGGAAATTGTCTACCACAGAGGCAGGTGGAGGGTTAGGAGCACGGGGTGGCGGGGGGTAATACTGGGGGCGTTGGTGGTGGAGAATGTGCCCTGTTGGAGCGATGGGTGTTCGATCATTGTATGACTAAAACTCAAACATGAAAGTTTTGTAACTGTATCTCACCACCATTATTCAATTTTTTTTAAAAAATGCAGTTTATAAAGAATAGTGGGCAACACCCCTGTCATCCAGATGTATTTCCCCGCTCACATTTTAGGGGAGGGCACAGTGGAGACACTTGCTGGGCACTTTCCACTTGGAAATTTGATAATGTTTCAGATTTTGTGCCCTCTTTACCCGCATTAGCTTTCATAGTTCCTTGTTAGCTCAAGCTTTTAAAAGCGCTCATGGCTATATACAAAGAGCATTCCCCTCTCTTCCCCACTTCTGTAGATCTTAAAGAGACAGATTAATCCTCTTAGGAGCAATTTTAAGTTAGGGTTCTCCTGGATTTCACTTTTCTACCTTAGTGATAAAATAAAACTTTTAGAGGAAACAGATAATAATAAAACTCTTTCCTGTCAAATAATATTCTAGTCTTCCAGTCCATCCGGCAAGGTATCAGAAAAATACTCTGAGGGCCTAGTAAGGGGAAAATCTTTTCTCGGTGGTGGAGAGGATAAGAAACCTCATTCTAGCAAGTCCCCTGCTTCTGGTTTATAGAATATCACAATAGAATATAACATATGAATCAGCTCCAAAATGAGCCGTTTCCAACTTGACAGTTAATTTTCAGCCTTAAAAGACTACATGAATGTTGTTGCTCACGATAAAGACTTAGTGTGCATGTTCAAAATATGTATTTCATTGCATTCTACTCCTGTATATTTAACTTCATTGCTAAAGTGATCTTGGTTACTGTAGTGAGCTTTTATGTGTGTGTGGCTGGCACAGGTGTTCACTGTGATTTAAAGATGCTGTGGGCAGACAGAGGAAACTGAGGTGCTTTCATGGAAACTAGTGACTTTCCTTAAAAACTCAGTATGAGGAAAAGGTATAATAATGCTTCTCCTGTTTTCTGGGGATCCTGGGTACCCCAGAATAGTTGTTTTAATTGCTGTAGGCAAAAACAAAGATGTTTGTGGGTTTTCTCAGAACACTAGTTTTTTTAAAAAAAATTTCCATTCGTGCCCTCCTCCGCAGCCAAGTTTCAGGGTTCTGACACTGAAGCTGTCTCTCTGGCCTTGTGTATGGCGGACAGAGGGTTTTCACAAATACTAAAGTGGAATCTGCTGGGGCCGGGGCGGTAGTACAGCAGAAAGGGCATTTAAAGGCTTGCATGCAGCTGACCCAGGTTTGATCCCTGTCATCCCATATGGTTCCTGGGCATGGCTAGGAGTGAATCCTGCGGGAATAACCAGAAGTAGTAACCCCTGAGTACCCCCAGGTATGACCCAAACCATAATAAATTCAAATAAAATGGAATTCTCTGGCAGTCCTTGAAAGTTAGCCCAGGTCTTTGACCTTGTTTTCTATCATGTTTATTTTCTTTTCCAGACTTCCAGTCCCCAATCCTGGGGCACATCAGGTTTTAGGGGGTTGTAGGCTCCATCCCTTCCTTCCTTCTGATCCCAAGTCCCTCAGCCCATACCAGAGAAGGAGGTGCCGAGGATTGGGCTCTGGGCTTCATGGACTTTGCCATGGGAAAACTGTGCCAGGAAACCCAAGCACGGCTGCAGTTGGTGGGTCCAGCCAGCATGACACAGGCCTGCAGCTGGCTGGAAGTGAGGGGGCATCCTGCATTGTGGGTGAAGGTGAGACGGGAGGAGAATGTGGGAGGGGGTCAGAGAAAGACTAGCTTACCTTGTTGTGTGTGTGTGTGTGAAGCTCTCCTCTGAGGGGAGTGACAAGGGCAGCCCTTAGGTTATTGTGCAGGGTGGCCAGAAGAAAGGAAATGGGTCTGGAGCCCTGGGATTCAGGTGGGAAGCGCCTGACTGGCTGCAGGATTTGGAGTGGCAGGGGCACTGCACGCTCATGAGAGGCCTTGAGGCTCTCCCAAAGGGGTGTGGCCGGGACAGGCATGCAAGTGGGGAAGGGTGAGATGGGATCTCAGCTGCGGTGCTAGAAAACACCACCTGGGGCCTACTGAGGCTTCTCACAGATGGGGAAGGATGAGAGATGAGTCGGAGTGAGAGGCATGAGTGAAAGGCATGCAGGGCTACGGGGTGGGGAGAAAGCTGCCAGCCTGACTCTTTTTTGAGGGATATAGGAGGGCACTTCTGCCAGTGCTTGGGCCTTAGTCCTGGCTCAGTGCTCAGAGATCACCCTAGCAGGGCTGCGAGGACCCTTTGAGTTGCCTGGGATCCAACCAGGTCAGTGCCAAGCAAGGCAAGTGCCCTATCTGCTGTATTATCATCACTCCAGCCAGCGCTCATGCTTTTATTTCTGTGAACTGCATGAAGAGCAGGCTCAGCAATGCTTGCTCCTTTACTCTACACAAGAGGAAGCCATAAAAATAAGAATTTCTAACCTCCAAATTTTTCTTATGATTTTTTAAAATAGAAAACTGACAGTTTTGTCCCTAAACTTCAGCTTCCTGCTGAGAGGGCAGGAGGAGATGGCACGCTATCACTTTTCTAAAAAGATGTTTCAGTTTGGTTTTGGAATTACCAAGCCTCTTACTGTTGCTGGAACCTCCCATATTTCATGGGAATTCTGTGTACTTGGCAAGAGAATCATTTCCAATAAATAGTTTGTAGATTCCCATTGCATTTCAGTTGGCTCCAAATGTACATGTACATGCATGAAGTTGAACATTTTTACTCTGTCACAGTAAACTGCCTTTTCTTTGTAAAAAGTAGAATCAGGCAGCTTCCCTTCTCAGAAATCATAAGCATCGTTTTCTCCTTTTTACTTTAATGTGAAGAATCCTGATGGCTTCCAAGCCACTGGGCGGTGGATGCCCCATCTGCCCCTCTGCTACTGAGCTCAGGAGACAGTTGTCTCTGAAGGCCCCTGGCAGAGGAAGTTTTGGTTTCCTGGGTAGGACCACTCTGTTGGCCTCCTGTGATGACATGTCCGTACAAGGAGCTACTTGAGGCAGACCATTTAGAACCTGCTGAGTGTTCTGCTGAATTTCCCAAGCCTTTGAGAATTATGAGAAGATCATGTCTGCACACTCATGGCAAGTGCTTCCAGTTAGCTTCCTCCTACCCAGGCCATGCCATTCCTTGGCAGGGGCAGAGCTTTGGTTTCCTTTCTTGGAACCCGGTCAGGCTGCCTGTCCAGGATGCACTGCAACCAATTAAGTACCACAGATAGGAAATTCTGGGATCTCCATGCTTGGAAGAAACCTTCCCTGTCTGTCTCCCTCCTTTGGGATCAGCGAGCAGACTGAGAGGACCTCAAGTCCCGTGGAAAGCCCAGAGCTCAGAGCTGGAGGTAAGAGTGGCAATAGCTGCGGGCCAGGTGGCTAGCCCTCATGGACAGTTGGACCTTGAGGTGATGTCAGTCACAGTCCCTGACTGCACCCAAGGACTGCTGGGGGGCCCAAACCAAACCCCTAAATGGCGTTCCTTCTGTCCTTGAAATCTGTCTGCTTTGCTGTATGGCAGGAACGAGGTGGGATCAGGGAAGTACAGAGATTCCCAGTTCTAAAGTCATTGACACTTCAGATGGTGTTAAAGGGAATACTTGTGTGTGATGTTCCCAGAGGGCAGCCTTTTGCTTATGGGGTCCCCATGTAGCATAGGCTTCATGGGGAAAGTGGTAAAACCCACTTTAACAAAGTCAGACAAACTGGTTCAGAAAAGGCCTGTGCTTTCTAGAAAAGATTGGGGAAATCCAGAAACATCTGGATATCATAGCTCTCATGGATCAAAATCCAGGCACAGATTTGTATATGTGACACTGGAATTTGCCCAGAGGCACTAAATAAGCTTCATCATTGGACATGATGCTGGGAGGGCTGAAGGGAATGGGTCCATCAGTATCATAACGGTTTCTCCTGAATACAGTTTAGGAAGTTGGCCAATGACCACAGAGACTCACTTT